TGTGTTCTGGGGAAAACAATAGTGGTGTTAATGGCCTTTAGGGCTACACTGCCAGGCAATAACATTATGAAATGGTTTGGACCCACACAGCAGCGCTTAAGTGTTCTTGCTTTCACACTTATACAAGTTTTGATTTCTGTTCTTTGGTTGACAATATCACCTCCTTTTCCTTATAAAAACATGAAATACCATAAAGAAAAAATAATTCTAGAGTGTGATTTAGGATCAACAGTTGGATTTTGTGCTGTGTTAGGGTATATAGGATTCCTCTCTGCCATGTGCTTTGTGCTCGCTTTCCTGGCTCGGAAGCTGCCTGATAACTTCAATGAAGCCAAATTCATTACGTTCAGCATGCTCATATTCTGTGCAGTCTGGATCACCTTTATCCCAGCTTATATCAGCTCTCCTGGGAAGTTCACCGTAGCTGTGGAAATATTTGCTATTCTAGCATCAAGTTTTGGTTTGCTGTTCTGTATATTTGCACCCAAATGTTACATTTTAATATTAAATCCTGAGATAAACACAAAGAAGGGTTTGATGGGTAAGATGTCATCAAAAGCACTTTAAACCCATGAGGAGGAAAAAACAGAAAGAATCCACTTTGTTTCCAAAATTATTTTCAAAAAACAAAATAGTCTAAAAACACTTCCATATCTAGTGTGAGGAATGTGAAAACTCTATGATGTGCACAATTCTATTTTGCAAGTATTCTGAGAATTGCTCTATAAGATTTGATCGTGAAGTAAATGTGTATGTCTTCGTCTCATAGCTTTGTACACGGAAGGGAATGTAAGTGAAGGTCAAAAACATTGTGTTGTGAGCCTGATCATCGAGGACTGCAATCTATAAGGTTCGTGTGTTCTAGCTGTTGCTGTAGGAAGCCAATTTTATTACTGGCCCTGATTCATGTGTCTTGTGCCAGCATTATTACATTCTGAATGTCTACCTGAATTGTATCACTTAAGTAAAGAGTGGATTGTGACACCTCAAAAGTACATCAATGTTATTTCTGTAACATCCAAAGCAATTTGTGAGTTTACTGGGTTATTCCAGCTTGAAGCAGAACCAGGGCTCACTGGAGGAATGTGTTATCATTATGTTTGGGACATAGACCTTCTGATAAATTAACTGATACTCATTGTCTCCTCTTAACTACACAGTTTATGTGTAAATGTTTATGTTTATGAGAAAACAACTAGATCCACATGTTGCATGTGAAATTTAAGTAGTAACAATATGATGTACTTGAAAACTTTCCTTTGACACCTGTTTTGATGTGATAAATGTATTTGTAATTGAGAAAATGCAAAATATGCAGTATTTGTCCTGTACACAATCATTTTAGGGACATTTTATTTGTTTGCAACACAAATATTTTAAAATATAAAATTTCTTATATGTAATTCAGCAGTGTATTGATCCCACAAAATATATATGGACAGTAAAGAAACAAGTAATAGGTTTATTCTGTAGGGAAAACCGGTTCAGGGACGCCAAATATGTAATCATAGTGGCTCTCTGAAGGCACCA